CATTGCTCTGAGCAATTCCAGGTCTGTAGTTCACCAGATTTTCTGGTAATGTGTGTGTTCAGACTGCTACTGAGCTTCCAAAGAGGAGAGAGCTGGCAGTCTCATGGAATGGGGTGCACAGGGGCACAGGGCACGTGGCCCCATACTGGGAGGGTGCCCTGCTGTTAGGTGCTCACTCCTGGCACTTCTGGAAATGCTGGTTACAGAAACTGCTTTTGCAAGGAATTCCATCAGAGGCCTTCAAATATGTGTGCACTGGCACTGTGATTTTCTGCTTGGGGAATGAAATCCTTTACAAGACAGTCTCATGGCACTACCAGGGTACTCAATGGCAGCTGCAAGTAACAAGACACCCTGTGAGTTCGTCTCTGAGTGTCTGTGTTGCTGTGATGTGTAGAATTACAGTCTCTCTGGAGAGGCTTTAGTGAAAAGGCACTATTTCTCCAGTAGCAAAGGGAGCTCACAGACAATTTCCATTCCCTTCCAGGCTGGACTTCCCATCTCCATGCTGTTGGCTGCAGCCCATCATCTGCTGCTCATGGGAAAGTTCACTCCTGAGGTCTGCAGCCTGAAACAGCACTCTCCATGAAGGTGGAAAAATGGCAGCAAAGAGAGAAGCAATGAATAGGAGGAGGGAGACTACAATAAATCAACACGTTTGCAACTCCACTTGGATGAGGTTGTTTTTTGCAGAAATACTCCATAAAAAATAGGAGATAATCTTAAGGCAATTGGATCACCTTAAAGCACTTGAAGTCAGTACGACCTTTGGCTTTTTGGCTTTTGCTATTCTTGGCTGTTGGATGAGATATAGAAATCCAGCTGATCTATAAGGTAAATTCTCAGTTGCCATGGCGATGTGTCTCGTTCATGTTCTCAGTTGGAAGGTAGATTGTTCCGCGCTGCTATTTCATGTCTAGGGCAACATTCTTTGGTGGCAGAATTTCTTTGTTTCAGTACATTAATGATACAACTCTGTTCTTCCTTTCCCAGCTTATGGAAACGTGGCTCAGCCTGAACATTCCCCTGTAAAAATACAGCTATTTGCATTTTTTTTTTTGTAATGACATTTCCTTAAGTCTGGAGGTAAATGCTGAACCCTTTTGATAGCTTGGGTGCAGCAACATCCTGATGCCACAAAATTTCACCATGAAGTGAAAACAAATTGGAATCATTCCACCTTTGCTTCCATGTGGTTTGGACAAACTGAAGTATCTCCTGAACTAGCAAGTCTTATAAAAGAAAAGTAATTTTAAAGTACATCTTACCTATAGTGTATATCTTACATATTAGATTTCTACAGATCTCCATGTGCTTTCAGGCAGTTCAGATTCAATTCCTAAGTACTGCAGACTCCTAATTTTGATCAATTCTTACTTAAGGCCACTAATGGTGTTTCTCCTGTTTCTTTTGCCACCTTGAGTTCTTTGTTTTTCCACATGCCACCTTCACCTTATTCCAAGGTGAAGAGCAAGGCAGGAGCAGACATCCTGGTTTCTGTTGGCTCGGTGCAGTCTGCAGTAGTGGGAACAGGCTGCATACAGCTCTGGAGGGTTAGGAAAGCACAGAGACATGAGTTGGCCTAGTGTGATACAGCTTGGAGGTTTCACAGAACAGAGGGCTCCAATATTTGGGTAAGAAGGACCCTTTTCTGGTCATGTTCCCCATTTCAGTTGTATGTGACCATTGCCTTTCTAACCTGCTTGGTTTTATTGAACTCCGCTCACTTTTCTTTCCAAGCGACTTCACACAAGGGTGCAGCACCTATGACACTTTGCACAGCGCTTCTTCTTCTTCTTGGGGTGGAAAATGGTCATGATTGCCTCATCAAAGACAGTCTTAAGGCCTTTCTGTGTGAGGGCTGAGCATTCCAGATAGCACTGTGCTCCAATCTGAAACAGAAGACAAAAAAAATGGAGTGCCCACTGTTGGGAGAGACAAAGTGATCCTGTTCCAGCATCTTTCTATGTGCATATGTATCCTGTCTCAGAGGCAAGCCCAGACCTTTAGGAAGTGGGTCAAGTCCTTGCTCTCTCTTGTATCTGTCTGTCTGTGGGATGAAGGAACAAACTCAGGTGGTCATCCTGAGCAAGGGAGCAGGGATCAGCATCAACATGAGTATCTTACCACAATGGGGTAAATGGGGACCAAGAATTCCCTCCACCAGCCTCCAGAGAGGGCAGGGCTGCACCCCATGTTTAGGTGCTGGACCAGGAGCTTGGCCTCCTGCCTGCTCAGGTGGGGAGAATTTCAAGGAGTTGCAGGGTTGTAGCTGAACCCTTTCATAAACTTGGCTCTTCTCCCCTGACCTGTCACTCTTGTGTCCTGCCCTCTCCAATTCTAGGGAGCTGCTACCTGGGGAGGACTTCCAGCTGGTTTCTGGGAATGGGGAAACATAGTTTTAAGATGGGAGTTTCCTGGGGGTGCTGGCATGACACTAACACACAGTAACCTGTGAAAGCAGCCTCAGCTTATTCAGCAATCTTGTGGTTTATTCAGCTTGTTCCGGTAATGGATGGTTTCGCTGGCCTTTAAGGGCCACGGCCAATAACAGAACCTGGAGCATATAAGGTGGACAGGGCTGGGGTCCAGAATCTTGTGCCCCAGGGCTTGGGGAGGGCTTTTATCCCCTTACATTCCTGGGAGAAAGCTGCCATATCACAGAAACCTTGGGAGCACTTTGCTGCTTGAAGTGCGATGGATAAGTGAGAATCAAGTTGTCTGTGCTTGTATAGGGACAAGTTTGACAGGAGGCGACTGCAGAGAAGGGTTTGTCACATGCATCTCCTGGCAGAACTGTGAACAAGAAACACTTGACTTAGGTAAAATAGACAGTAAAATCTGTTCTGATGCCCATGTGCCACCTTCTGCCCTGCATACATCGATGCTTTGCTTAGAGCTTGGTCATGGCACCAAACCTGCCAGAGTTCAAGAAGCATTTGGACAATGCTCTCAGGCACATAGTGTGATTTTTGGGGCTGTCCTATGCAGGGCCAAGAGTTGGACTCAATGATCCTTTTGTGTCCCTTCCAACTCAGGATATTCTATAATTCCAGAATTCAACTGGGTATGGCAGCAGAACTGCAGGCTCAGGGGTCACATTGTGTGCCTGGGTCCAACCTGTTTGAACATAGGTTTTAATCTCCATCTGGGACTCACCAACATGCCCTGGAGGAGTTTGCCTTGAATAAAATAAACCCAGTGGAAAGCTGTAATCAATTGATTTCATGGGACCTCAGGAAAAGCTATTACCTCCTTTGCTAGCTTCACGCCGTGCTCATAGGTGAGTGGTTTCTCCTTCATGTAAAGCAGCCGAGCCAAAGTTTTGGGATCATCCCGGAGATCAATCTAGTAGAAAATACACAAATTCTGTGCTGTAGTTCTTAAGGGAGATATTCAGAGCTTTACAGACCCACATAAGGGCATCTGTCCTCCTCAACTCAGATGATACTCCAGAAATTAATTGCATGTGTATTTCCCTATTTTTTTTCTATTTACCATGAATTAGTTCTCCTTGGGCCACAGCTTGGATAACTGTGGTATAGTAAAAATGACGTTCCCAATGGATTTTACAATCCATCTTGGAAAGTGTTGGTGGAAGCCTGAACCCCACTGGAAGGGGAGGCTGCTGCAACCCTGCAGTGTATCACACAAAACCACCCTGACAGGCCAGACAGACCCAGCTCAGACTGACTGACTTGAAATAAAATCCTTTATTTCCGTGGAAAACAAGCAAGTGAAGTATTTTGGCATTTCAAACCCATCCACTTCAGAGTATGTAATCCAAAGGGTAAAACTTTTCTTTTTAAATGGGTGTTTTAGATTATTCCAGTGTAGAAAACAAAGCCAGTGTTTGAATGTTTGGCCTTTCCTATGGCATGAAGATTTTGGCTTTGACTAGAATTTGATCTGTTTCTCTAACTTAGCTTAGGTTACTGTCCAGTGTTCTAACATTTTCCAGACAGTTGTATTCCTATTCACACAGTTTCTAGCCACTCTGTGTCTCTAAGAGGCAAACCCATAATTAATGCATTTTAATTTGATTGATAGTCATAGATTTTCAGGCCAGAATAAAGTGGCTTGATCATTCAGTCCAACATTTACTCTAACAGAAGCAGGATGGTGAGCCACTACCAACATTTACTCTAACAGAAGCAGGATGATGAGTCACTAGTTGCAATGTTGATGTAAAAGAATGAAGGGGGGCTATTTCCTTCCCATGTCTCTAAGTAATTGTTTAATTATTCCCATTCTTCAAATTTAGTTTGAAGTTTAGCTCATACCTCTAACCACAAACTTGGATGTTTTTTTCCTCCCCACTAGAGGCTTGTAAAAAACCTTTTCTCCCTATAGGTATTTATGCCTTGATGCCACATTAATACACATTCGAATTAAAAAATGGGATGAGTTTTGCCAGTTTGGACATCTACACATTGGTTTTCATTCCCAGTCCCAGAGTTTTCCTTTAATGGCATAATCTGACTGCATTTCATGTAAGAAGTTAGATAGGAAACCTTTCCTCCACCAAGCTCAGCCTCCTAACATCCCTGGGGTGGAGAGGAGCCCCCTCACTCTGAACCCCCCACCATGCACGGGAGAAGCATCACCTGTGTTCCTATGAGGACATAAGGCACGTTGGGCATGCACACTTTCAGCTCGGGCACCCACTCCTCCTGGACATTGTGGTACGAGGCAGGATTCACCACTGAGAAGCAGATCAAGAACACATCTGTGTTGGGGTAGGACAGGGGTCTCAGCTGGTTGTAGTCCTCCTGCCAGAGGAAAACAGCAAGAGTGTTATGAAGTGGGGATAACTGCAGATAGGGGCATTACATTGGGTCTTGACAGTTCAACACTGTCCATACTCATGCACATTTCTAACCTTCAGGGAGATGCCGGGAGGGAAACCACCCATCATGGAGCAGGGGTGCTGAATTTTAAGGATCTTTGCCAAAAGAGTTGAAAGATGCCCCATCCCTGGAAATGTTCAAGGCCAGGTTGGACAGGGCTATGAGCAACCTGGTCCAGCAGAAGGTGTCCCTGCCCATGGCAGGGGGCTGGAACTAGATAGTCTTGAAGGTCCCTTCCAACCCAATCATTCTGTAATTCTGTGAACACATTTTGTGTGTGTTATCCGTGAACTGCTTGTGCAGAGAGTAATGCTAAATGGTGGCTGTCACTGCTGGTATAATAAAAATTGATCTTGAGACTGGTGTACTGGCCTCAATCCTCCAGCAATGGGAAACCATCCTGGGTAGTGTTATGTGACTGTCACTGCATAGCCAATATTTGATGGTGACACAGAACTGTAGGGGATTTTCTGTTAATATTATGGGTTTTCTGTTCTCCAGTATGCATTATGGACATGGCCATGTACAATAAATAGGATCTCCAGGCTATTTGTGCCATCATAGTCCAGTACGGTAGGCAGAAATGTGTCAGTCAGCAGAAGACACTCATCTTGAAAGAAGAAAGCAGATCAAATCCAGCCTGCAGTGCCTGGGTACATCACTATGAGTGATTTAGTGTTTCCACAGGCCCTGGACTGTTCATGGGAGATATTTTCTCTATGGGCTAGTCATGAAAGAAGGTGAATTTTCAAACAGCTTAAAGCACAGCTGTGTTATGTTGTGAGCTGGCTTTGAGAGCTGAGTTTTGAGGAAGAATTTAAGTCTGTTTTCAGGCTTGAGATGTTGAGAGCAAGCAGAGGTTTTGCAAGCCATGTGAAAGGGATAGCCTGGCTCTTTCCTGACAGTGAGAGCATATGTAGCTCTGTCTGGTGGGTCCTCTTCAATGAAACCTGTTAGAAAATTTCCATGCGATGAAACAGCCGTTTTTTAGAGGGGATACATCTGTTCCAAAGGCTTTTTTGGGGGGTCCAGAAGTAAAAAAGGGGAAAGGAACACAAAGTTGGAGTGTGGGAAACAACAATACATGCTGCTGTCAAGCCTGACTGAGATGTAGATTTGCAGTTTATCATTTCTGCATTCTGGGCAAGACTCAGCTCTCTGCAGTATGGTTGCTTTAGGTTGTAACTGTATAAAAACTCAACTGGTCCAGATTTGCTTTGCAGATACTGAAATAGTTAATAAAAGAAAATAAAGCTAAGGGGAAAAAAAACACCTGGGTGCTGTTGCTCAGATTTGAGAACATTTATTTGAGGCATGGAAAACCCACATTAGGGACAGCAACAATATAAGCTGCTGCCTGTCCTGCAGGAGAAAGTGGTGAAAAACTATATTACTGTGTGCCCAGATTAGATGGTGGTTTAGTTCACCTTTGTTTCTGCATTGCTTTGATTGGGTCAACAAATGAGATCATGAATTGAGACTGGTAAATCTTCCTTCTGAAGTCTTTTGTTCACTGACTATACAGTGATAAGTTGACCCAGACTACTTCTGAATCAGAACTAGTTTCCAAAATGTACTAATGAATTACATAAAAACAGCCTGCTCCAACTGTTACTAAAAATATCCCCCAAACTCTAATTATTTATTCTGAAAGGAAGTATGAGGTCAAATTTAGCTCTGTCTCATTACAAAGAAGTTTAAAGAAGAATCCTAAAATACAAACAAAATGTTTTTTTTCCTAACTTAATGTTCATTGTCCCAAGCCCACTTTGACAGGAAGAGTAAAGTCCCAGTTACCACCTCCAGCCCCCACAGCCAGAGTATTTGTTGTGAAGCCAGAGTATTTGTCAACTGACCTATGTTTTTCCAGTGGATAGAAAGTGTTGGTCTGAAGAAGGATTTCCAAGACAAGAGGAGGTCTTTGGACATCACCACCTCCAAAGAAAGTGGATGCTCCTTGTTCAGGGAATAGCAGGAAAAAACCTCAGAGATCTTTGTGAGACCATCAGTGATCCAGTTCATGAAGAAGCAAAGTCTGTGAGAGCAGGTAGGACATGGAGTCTCTGGACTCTGGAGATGTCACCCAGCTCTCAGCAGTGGAATTAACAGAGGCAAAACAAATGCCAAGGTGATGGGATCGACAGAGCAACTGCATTATGGAGACAGACCAGTTTTATGCGGATGTTGTGGGTTGGGAAGGCCTGACCTGAGTATGGGATATTATTTTAACCCAGAACAGCAAACCTGAGATTAAGTATTTTTGTGGCACAGCCAACAAGGACTGATACCAGCTGCTTGGCAAAGACTTTTTCTGTATTTTCTGTTTAATTGCTACAAATCAGCCTCTCGAATCAGCCACGTGGTGGCAGCAAGTCCTCGAGGAATCCTCAGATAGGAATTTTGGAAAGAAATTGGCTAAATATAGTCAATTTCAGTATTCCAGACGTGCATATTTAGAGGGGCTGGAACTTACTGTACCATTAAAATTACAGATTAAAGCCATGACTGCTCTGCCTGGCTGTGACAGCTACAGAAGCATGCATTTAATTTTATTTTCCTTGTTCCTTCAGAGTCCCAAGAAAATCCTTTTTTAGGAGAGGTGTTCCTGATTTGAGTTCTCGACACACAGCATTACATAAACAGCAATGAGGGACAGCCACGCATCACATAACAGAGGTCTCTCTTCCACCAGAGCACATTACATCTTGCATGGACTTGTTCAAGCACAAGCACAAATGCTGTGGATGAGACTCTCTGGGCTCCCACACATGCCTGTGTCTCTGGGCTGGCAGGAACCTCTAACCACACAGGCCATATCCAGAGGTGCTGCAGCTTGGACAGTGACATTTGGGAAGGGACATGAGTCCTTGTGGGCCTAGGCTGTGGCTGATCAATAATTTGTTTCCCTAGCTCATTCTTGCATTGTGCTGCCTGTTATTTTGGGAGCACAAGGCTTCCCATTTAACACTGCCTGGCCACAGGTTTGACATGGAAATTCCAGTGCCAGACCTGTCCTTGCTGAGCTACCTGTGTGTGACTTGTTAGGACTGAGATGCATCAACGGGTGTTAATCCCTCCCTGCTCTATCATTGCCATCAGCCTTGCACTGTTTGGGCCCAGAGAGTACACAAAAATTTGAAGAAAGAGACTTGGGAGTGACAGTGAATGAGAAGCTCACCATGAACTGCAGGGTGAGCTCAGCCTAGAAAGCCAATGGAATCCTGGGCTGCAGCAAAAGGAGTGTGGCCAACAGGTCAAAAGAGACAATTCTCTCCCTCTGCTCTGCACTCGTGAGAGTCCACCTGGAATACTGAGTGCAGTTCTGGTGCCCTCAACACAAGAAAGACATAAAACTGTTGGAGCAAGTCCAGAGGGGGCCACAAAGTTGCTAAGAGGACTGGAGCATCTCTGCTATGAAGACAGGCTGAGGAAGTTGGGACTGTTCAGCCCGGAGAAGAGCAGGCTGCATGGAGACCTCAGAGCAACTTTTCAATATCTGAAGGGGCTACAGGGGAGCTGGAGAGGGACTCTGTGTTAGGAACTGCAATGACAGGACAAGGGTAACAGAGGGGAGGTTTGGGTTAGATATTAGAAAAAAGTTTTTTTCTGTGAGGGTGATGGGACACTGGTACAGGTTGCCCAGGGAAGTGGTGGCTGCCCCAACCCTGGCAGTGCTAAAAAACAGGTTGGATAAGGCCTTCAGCATCCTGGTCTAGTGTGGAAGTGTCCCTGCCCACAGGGCAGGGGGTTGGGACTAGATTATCTGTAAGGTCCATTCCAACCCCTAAAATTCTATGTTTTTATGATTTGCTTTTATTATGTTGGTGCTGTGCTGATCTCACACACACTCTGCTAAAGCACTTTGCACCTGAGTTTAGCCTGTGATAAAAAGATCACAGGTTTTTTTTTCTTCTAGGGCTGTTTGTACCAGGGATACAGAAAACCAGATACCCCAAATCCGGGGTCTTTGCCAGCTCTCCCTTCAGGCTGACAGAGGGTCCTGTCCTCCATATTCCAATTGTTATTTCATTAGCATATGTTTTATAGCGTTGTAATGTCAAGGGCTATTTCTGGCTATGACTTCACGCTGATGCCTTTGGAAAGCCACACAACACAAGGAGAAGGAGGGAGGAAACAACCCAGATGATCTGCTGTTATAGCTGGAGCATGTGGGAAGCATCATCTTCCAGCCTCCATGGAGACACAATCTAGTCATCAAGGGGTGATTCATGCTCTGAGTTTTGACTAGATGGCCATGTCCTCTGGACCAAAGTCTGGAAGGAGATGAGCCTGACGAGTTAGAAATAGAGTTTGGAGTCAGGTGGTGATCTGGCTAGTTTGAAGAAGGAGATGGCAAAATGATGTGGAGGAATGGATGGAGTGGTGAGGTTTGTCAAAGAGACAGATTAATGCTCCTTCTGGCTCAGGAGGACAAATAAGAGGAGGTGTTGCTGAGGAAATGGGTGGCAGGTGGAGCTGTCAGCCCTACAAAACAAGTAGAAATATTAAGTCGTGGAGTAAAATCTGACTGAGAACTGAATATAACTCCAGTCTCACTTGCAAAGGCTTGCAGGGCTGCCAGATCATGACACATGCTCTGAGCTCTGTGTTTGTGAGAGCAGAATAGAAAACTGAACATGCATTGAACACAGGACAAGAACTTGGGTCATATTTTGGGACAGGCTTTTGGATCATCTGCTTTCACCATGTGAATAGAGAGGATGGGTGGACTGCAAGGGCCACCAAACGATCTATGAGGTGTCTATTGCTGCCTGCAGAAACATGATGGGAATAAAATTAAAGAAAGTGAAACCCAAAACATCAAAGCCCCAGACTCCTGCTGAGTGCAGGTTTTTCTGGAAGTGACAGTCTGTTCTGGTGTGGGTTTTTTTTCGACCTCTCTGCATACTGCTGTGATGTATATTCTACATGAAGTGCCTTTTGCAGACAGGAGGGTCTCCATCTGCATTGTGTGTTTCATAGCAGTCATTTGTGGCCAAAACCAGTACAGTCAAGAGGTGCTCCTGATGAAAGCAAAGCCCTGCAGCCAGGGCTGCTGGAACCTAGATTGAGTAAAGCAAGTTCCCAAATCTGCTGCTCTCCTGCTGACTCCAGTGCCAGCTCTGACTGGAGGAGCTGGTCGATGTGGGTTACAAAGCTGACAGGATGTGGGGGAACTGGAACCTGCTCCTTTCCCTCTCAGCAGGTGATTTTCTGCAAGGTTTCTGTGCAGATTGTCACCCTTTCTTTATTTTGCCAGCCACTGACATTCTGAGGTAGGAGAGGGAAATTTCACCACCAAAATGTGTTGCTCCCTGTACCTTCTGTCCTTCTACTGGCAGAGCTAAGAAGTGAGAAATACTCTCTCCTTCTCTCCAGGGAGTGAAATTATTCTGCAGACTTTGAGTGCAACCACACCATATCAGACTGTGGACAATGGAAACAGTTAAAGCATTCTACATGTAAGTAAACCTGGGATACAGACTGTCCTGTAATGCACAGCCTTGTCCTGGGAGATGGATGTTGGGATGGATGCCAGTCTGGCTGGGTCAGCATTTGTAAAGTCAATAGGTGGTGACTGATAGGCTGGTGCTGTATTATATCAGTTTTCTGGTCTTAGAATTGGGATTTTTTTTCTGCATCTTCAATGCCGCCACGTGGTAAAGGTAAGAAAACATTGACTATGCAAAACGTCTTATTTTCAGTAGGAAGTGGATATATGGGAGGCTGAACAGCCTCATCAGGCTTTGGTTTTTTGATTAGACAAAATGATGAGTGTATTTCTGTATGTATAGCTGAACCAGAATGAAAGCTTTATGTAGAAACCAAAAAGGAGAAGATCACCAGTCCAAACCTTAAAACACTCAACCAATTGCTAATACTTGTACCCCCCCCCCCCCAGCAAACTCCACATACAGCATGAACAACAAATCCCAGTATATGGTAGTAACAAACAAACCAGAGGAAAGGAAAATGGTAATTACCTGCCCTGCAGTGTCATAAAGTCCCAGCAAGTGTTGTTGTCCTCCCACAGTCACCGTCACTGGAACAGAGAAACAAGAGATGGTGTTGATACACAAGCCAATGGCCTTATTTTCTATGTATTTTGACTAAAAAATGCCAATAGATCCTTGTATTAGCCACATTAGCATGTGTCCTACAATGAGCATCCTAAACCAAGCTGACTCCCGTAAACTAGAAAACACAGAATTCCTGCCTCCCAAGGATGATCACTGGGGTAGGTTTGTAATGGATCATTGAGAGGGGGTTTATTATGATTTTATTTCTTCCAGACTGTGAAATGATGAAGCATTCAGCAGCAGTTGGTGTTTGGCAGGTCTCAGTGGAGGTGCAGCCTGTCCTGCTCTGTATCATGGTCATGCCATTGCAAGCAAAGTGGTAGTGTTTAGTGTTTACTCCTAGTGGTAGTACCTGGGGTTCTGTGGTGGATGTTTCAAAGGACAGGGAGGAAGAGAAGCATTAATATGTGCAGGGTGTTGATCGGATTCTGTTGAAACTGATGGAAAGCGTGGCTTAGTTTATTGATCACACTTAGCATGTTTACACCTTTAGTAGAATTCACTTTGAAGTTCATTTTGAGTCCATTGACACATTTTGAGCCCATTGACATTGATGAAAATGTTCTCTCGTTGCCTTTGTATGAACCCTGGATCTCTGTAACCACTGTTATTTTGTATAAAGGACATAATCTGAGTTAATGAAATTTAGTTAACCAGTTAATCTGCTTAAATCATTGCTACTCAACTGGAAAGAAGGGGAGGGGAGAGAGATTCCTGTTCCACCCATTAATCAGTAGGAGCTTTCAACATTCATCAGGAAAGTTGCTTAAAATAATGGTATTGTTGCAGCATATGGACTATTTTTTAAATATGAGAGAAAATGGCTGGAACGAACATAGAGCTCTGGCTGGGGTAGGAGGGCTGAGACTGGTGACCATCATCTGATCACAACTTGCAATTAATGAGGGCTGGGAATGAGTAATAGTTAGTCTAGGCAAAGACGAGGCTTAAAACATCACACAGGTTCTTGCTGAGTTTATTTCAGTGGCAAAACTTTTGTGGGAGAAGAACACCTACCAATTTATGGAATTTAATAGCTCCTGCACTGGGGAACAATGTCCTGTTTGAAATCTCTTAGACTTGAAGTCTCTGTCAGTGTGGCTGGACAGGCTGATTATTCAGCAGCTTTACTTGCTTGCAAAGCGACACAGTAATTTTGCTAGCACATAAACAGAACAAACCTGACATCCCGAAAGTACAAAGGCTCAGCGAGGGCCAGAGTTGCTGATGAGAGCAGGATGGTCTGCACTTGCTGCTGGGGCTGTCTTGTGAAGTAAAAGAGGAGATAGAAAAGGGGCTGAGAGCCCTCCACACTCCTCAGATCAGGAGGTAGCATGTGCACTGTACAGATCCCAGGGGAACTCATAGTGGGGTTAGCTGTTGAGCATGGATATCCAAGGGAGGAAGAGCCAGGGTGGGGTGGGGAGATGGTTACCAATGCAGGTAGGAGACAGTCTGGATGCCCCAACCCCTTACTTCAACCTGACCAGAATAATTTCAAGCAATCCTCACTGGAGCCCTGGTTTTTGACATTTTTGTTGTGTAGGAAATCTCAGAATGTCCCAGTAGAGGTATAAACTGTTTAAGTCTACTCACAACACACCTGCTTCTCTTACCTCCCTTCTCTGAAGCAGTGGACACACCTGCTTCTCTTACCTCCCTTCTTTCTCTGAAGCAGTGAGGGTTACATGTAGTCTGGTACAGTTTATGCACAGTGCAGAGCGTATTTTTTTCAGTTGCAACCTTGCCTGGCCTCCAATCTGCCCTTGTACCAAGAAATGCAGGAGCCAGACCCATTCTGCTGATTTCACTCTGCTCAAGGACCAGCTGTGGGAAGATGTACCCTTCAGCTGAAGGCAATTTTCCAGCTGCAATGTTTAGGAGGGCACGCAGTGTCTAGGACTGCATGTGAACAACAGTTACACTGTCAGTACTTTGCTGAATTTGTATGGAGCCTGCAGAGCATCTCCAAAGCAGGATGCTCATAGGACAGCTGTGTGGCCATGAGGCATGTGGAGGTGCAGGTCATCTAATGTGTCTGATGAATCTGAAGAGACATTTGCCATACGTCAGTACTGACAGAGTTATCCAGCTCTGTCTCTGCTGCTGGCTAACCCTCAGTGCAGGCAAACTGATGTGGGTCCTGCTTACAAAGATCAGCTCAGTTCTTCAGTGCTTTGAAAGCTGAAAAATTGCACTGGAATTTACTTTGCTGTGAAGTTTTGCTGGCCCACCTCTTTCTTGGTGGCATCTGACTGACAGAGCTATGCTGGCAAAAAGCCCTGGTGCAGATAGAAATTGCTGCCTTGTTCCAGTAAGTAATATGGTTTAGAGATAACTGTTTGGATAGAGGACCAGTCCATCTCCAGTATGCTATGCTTTGCCAGAAAGATACAACTCCTAAACTATTATCTGTGCTTTGTGGTCCATGAAGTCACAGTGGATATTTTGCAACAGGTCTGTGGAGCCACACACTGAGCTGTGATTGATAGTTTGTGCAGTTCAGTTTGGCTCTTGATGACCTCTGGGAAATGCTGAGGGGGAATAAAGAGGTTGGTGGTGTTCTGCCATTACTCTTCCCATACGCAAGGGTTAGAAATGCAAGGGCTTTTGGAAAAATACACCCTGAGTCCACCCATCTTCTGCATCACATTTTAATTCTCCATACAACATCCTGCCTTTTATGAGCCCTCCTGTGAATTTCTGTCATACCAGCCATATGATTTTTTTTGTTTTTCTTTTTTCTTTTTCTGTCTTTTTACCACTCCATTTACTTTTTTCCCTTTTTCTTTTGTTTTCCTTCATTTTCCCCACCTTTTCTTTTGCCCATCAACTTCTATATTTTCTTTCTTCTTGTCAGTTGTTCTCTTCTGTCTCAACATCAGAAGATATCCTTCCTCCTCACATCACCTCTCTAAGCCTGCAGCTACCACCCCAGCAAAACTGTCTTGTTGGCTAAACTTCAGCAACAGGCAAACTGCTGCCTTTGTGTTCCTGGCTCTGAATGCAGTGGGGACCAAATGGCTAACACTGACAGTCCAAATAATCACTGGTTCTTGAAACAGCAACGTCTAGATTAATGTATTGGTGCTGAAATTTCCACCACACTTTCACGCAGGCAAAACAGATGTCAAAATAAATGGCTTTTGCTTGTGAAAACTTAATGGTATTTTTGTGCTGAAAGTTTATCAGTCTGCTTCTGTCAGGCAAAAGGCTGTTCAGCGTCTCCACTTGGTAGGTCGTTTTTACAAGCTGAGATTGCCCTGCTAGATTTGTAGGCCTTACTTTTGGCTTTCTTCCAGTTTACTTTTACTTACTCTGTTGCTATCTTTTCCTGTTCTCGCAGTGGCAAAGCCTATGGGAAGCCAAGGCGGAATTCCTTCCCAGTCACTTGGGTAATGCAAGGCTCCTTTACAGGCTTGTGAACTTGGCTTTATGAGCAGTCTTGGAGTAACAAGACAAATATGAACTCTCCTTGCCATTTACTGACTATATTGATACATCGATTGAGCACTGAAACCACCTGGCCTTTAACACTGAGTGCGGTGGGGGCTGCAGTAAAACAAGGCTGAATACTTGCACAGTCCTGGTTCTCATTTGGCTCCAATCTGTGTCACATCAGACAACGCAACAGGGCTGATGTTCTCCTCCTTTCACTAGGTGTTTTTATCCAAGTGCAGCATGCATAAAACCCTGCTTTTAAAATGTTAGTTAGACCAAAAATTAGCTGGGTATTGCTTGCTAGAGTTTGAGTAACCATTTTGTGTCACCTCCAGGGCTTTGCTGCAGGTCTGTGTGCCTAGGAGTTCTTGCTAATAGGCTTCAACACAGAGCCTGAAGACCATAGCAGAAAGGAAAGGTGCTAGATGGAGGTATTGTGTGGGATGCATCTAGTGTATTGACCATGAACTGGTTTGAGCTGGGATCTCTGGTTTTAAATGTGGCTAGTTTGTGTTCCTGGGGATAATGACAATTTTTATTGATGCTCTTGATGCCCAGATTGCCCCAGCTCCACCTGTCCAAGGTCAGTCTTTGCCAAACTCTTTTCTCATTGTGTTTTGTTTGCTTGTATCAAAACCCTGGTGACTTTGTGGGACTGAACTGTACCCATGGAAGAGCCCTTCAGCCACACAACAGCAATGTTCATGGTCTGCACTGACAGAAAGGGGACATAAATTGTCTGCTGCCCTCCCAGAAACTCTTGTGTTTGATTAATAATGCAAAGCAACTCATACGCTTTTGGTATGACACCAAACTAGAATGCAATATCTCATCCATGCTTTGCTGTGACACAGGAGAGTGGATGTGCACATAATGGGGAAATTTTCCATGCCAGGGAAGAAGTGCTTATAGAACCCAAAGTCTGTGAAACTACTAGCTGGAATATATACAACAGCTAAGCAATGTCTAATGTGACACCACATGTGAGAAATAATCTATTTATTCTAGTGGCTTCCTGCCAACAAATTAAGGTCCAGCTGCTTTGAAGAGAGATGCCAGGAGCCTGAGAGCAAGCAGAGATGGTAGCACCTGCCTGGATGGAAAGACTTATATTTTTGGGCAAATCAGTCTGCGTCAAACCTCAGACTTTCACAAGGGTCATCCTCTGCCATTGTCAGCACGCTGTGAGTTTATGCATTTGCCTGTTCACTGTGATTGTATGTACCAGATGCATGTTACTTAACACAGACTAATTATAGAATGATAAAATGATTGAATGGTTTGGGTTGGAAAGGTCATCTAGTTCCAGCTCCTCTGCCATGGGCAGGGACACCTTCCACTAGCCCAGGTTTCTGAGTGCCCCACCCAGCCTGGCCTTGAACACTTCCAGGTATGGCCTGCAGTACAAGAAAAACTTCATTTCTGGTTGACCTGCTGGCTGTAGAAATGCCCAATTCTGTTTCTTTTCCAGTTGAGAAAGAGGGCAAAATCAGGACATGGACAAAAGAGCAGTTTTTAATCAGCTGCAGTGGAGTTTAGATATAAGTTTTGGGTTCCTCCTGCTTTAAGTGATGGACAGAATTGACCAC